ATATTAAAATATATATATAAATATGTATATATACACATATATATATATATATATACATATATATATACATATTTATATACATATATATATATATAAATATGTATATATATATATATATACATATTTATATATATATTTTAATATGTATATATATATTATATATGCATATTAAAATATATATATATAAATGTATATATACATATTTATATATATATACATATTTATATATATATTTTAATATGTATATATATTATATATACATATTAAAATATATATATAAATATGTATATATACACATATATATATATATATATACATATATATAGGTATATATAGGTATAGGATATCTATCTATATAGATATCTATATAGATATAGATATCTATAGATATATCTATATATCATGTTACCATTCGGTACACTGAGTTTTAATAGCTTATATTGATTTAACATAAATACCTTGTGCAAATGTATATTTATTGCACCTGTATGTTCTATTCAATGTTCTTTTCATATGAAATTCCATGGTTATAATTATTCATAAGTATGCAGTGTCATAACTACATGTCTGACTTTTGTTTAACAAACCAAACAGTTAGACAATTGAGGAAGTTATGGTTATTTAAGTACATGCGCCTTTAAAACACAATGTTACGAATGAGCGAGCTGCCTGTGGTAAGATGGCCGCCACGTGCGGACGTCGACCCCCATTAGCCTTTATTATGGATATCTATGGCCTTCCTTCTCCTCCCCCTTCTCCTCAGCGTCTTCGCTCTTCTTCTTCTTCTTTTGTTTTTATCGGTGGAAGACAACTAACTTAAGGTGCATTTACCGCCACCTACCAGACTGGAGTGTGTTCAGCAATGATGTCAGATGCAAGTTATTAATATATAAGTCAATGGTATACATGAATCTATATAATCTAGATTAATGTATAGATTCAATCTATATTCATACACACTCACATATAAATTAGTATGTGTGTATATACACATTCATACACACACTTAGATGTATACATAGTTTAAATGCGATTAAATAATCCATTGTTTTTTTTTAATCAAATTAATTGATTTCTAACTGAATTTGATTTACTTCCTAAAAGATTTATCATATAAAATCATATGTTTTCTCTATTTAGTATTGACTTTAGGTGCTGACGTTCGTGTGAATACTTATTACATTCTAATAATACATGTTCCACTGTTTCTATCTGATTACAGTGATTACAAGTCCCTGTTTAATGTTTCCCTATTCTGAAAGTCCAGTATGACCAATTCTAAGTCATGATATGACGACCTCTTATTTCCACCCTCCATTTATACAACTATTGCCCACCCCACAGTCTTTTGAATTTCATATAGATCTCTACAGGTGTCATGATTATCCAATTGTTCTTGCTAAACCTTACAGATTTATTCTGATTTATAGATTTTCCCTCACTTTTATTTAAAGGAGTACTTAAGTTAATAATACCTGATTTTAAGGCCTGTTTAGCTAATATGTCTACTTCTTCATTTACTTCTATGCCTGCATGAGCAGGATTCCAGAAAAATCAAGCAAAACATTTCTTATTATTAAGCTGAACTAATAAGTGATATATATCTAATAATAAATCTAATCTACAAGACTTGCAAGATTTGATACTTAATAATGCAGCTTGACTACATGATGCAATTTTATAACTATTTCCTTCCCTTAAAAAATTTCATCAAGCAACCATTCTAAAGCCAACATAATGACAATTCATTCAACTGTAAAAACTGCTAGATGATCTTTCGTTCTCCTTTTAATCATGATTTTTATGGTGTGGGATATTCACAGCTGCTCCTGTTCTGCCACCATTTGGATCTTTAGATCCATATGTATATATAATTACACTATCTTTAAATCTTCCAAAAATAATTATTAACTATAACACATTCTGGAGTCTTTCCCTTTTTAATAAATCCCCCCATTGCAGATCAACTTCTGGTGTGATAAATGACCATGGTGGAATTGATGACTGTGGAACCGTAAAGTTAACCGAAACTGAGTCAAACCGAATTTTTGGGCTTTTATGTCCCCAATCCATCCAAAGCTATTATAATCAGATTTATGATGTTCCCAACAGTCCTGCAGCGCAGTCTTAGTTGATGATCATAATTATGGCCCTGTAGATTTACCCAATACATATACATTATTTTCAATCTTCTTAATGGTAAAGGAAGCTCACCAGTTTTAACTTGTAAAGCAGCGAAAGGAGATGATCTGAAAGCTCCACAACATATTCATAATACTTGTGTCTGTTCTGTTCACTATCAAGTTTTTTTCAAATGACTGTTAGCAGCTGCCATATATGGCTCATGAGAGCCCGATTAACTCCAAACAGCGCACTTGAAGCTCCCCATTCCTGTCCAGAAAGACATCTCAACTAATTATTCACTTTTTTCATTTATTTTGAACTAATTCTAGTTTCTGTTTCCAAGTTAATTTCTCATCAAAGATGACACCTAAAAACCTCACTTTATTTACTTGTTTATAAAGATTTTAATTAACTTCCTAATGCCTTCTATAAAAACAAATAACTTGGGACTTTGCAACTTACATTTTAATGCATGCTACTTCTTTTTCTGCAAATACAGAGGATCTTGTGGCCACACCCACAGAGCCCCATAATCTGCAAAAAAAGATTTCCCTATACAACCATCTATCTTATCAAAAATGTCATTTATCATAATATTAAAAAGAATTGGGCTAAACACACTACCTTGCTGGGTACCATTCCCAACTATATATCTATTAGAGAAAGCAGTTCCAACTCTAACTTCTATTTCTCTCCCAAACAGAAAATCTAAAACCCAGTTATAAATCTTACCACTTATGCCAGAAATGTTTTTTTTCTAATTTAACCAATAATCCCTTTCCATAACATATCATACACCTTCTCTATGTCAAAGAATACAGCTATCACTATTTCTTTAATTGTTTAAGCTTTCCTTATTTCTGACTGCAGGCACAGTACCACATCCATCGTATTTCTCCATTTATGAAAACCAATTTGAAAAAAAGAAAATACATGTTTACTTTCAAGAAAATATGATAGACTATCTGTTGCAATTCCCTACATCACTTTCCCTAATTGAGATGTAAGAGATAGAGGCCTATAGTTTGAAGGGTCTGTTTCATTTTTACCTGGCTTCAACACAGGAATTTGAATGGACCGTTTCCATGCTCTAGGAATAATCCCTGTCTCCCAAATCAGATTGAAAAATTTAAGAACAGTAACGGATATATAATTTACATGTTTCAGCGTTACATAACAAACTCCCTCTTCCCTGTGTTTGACTGTTTATCATTAAATATAGCTTTTTTAGCTCAAAAAAAGTAAAAGGGATATCTAGATCTTGATTTGAAGTTATTTTCTTGTAAGTGACTCCTGGATTTTCTGCTAAAATCTTATCTTTATAACTCTTTATTTGTTCAGATAAATTCTTGGAACTATGTACTTTATTTAACATTTCTGCCAATAGAGCTGCTTTTTCTTTATTGCTACCTTCCCGCTACATTTTAGAAAATGTAAGGAAAAGGTTTTTTTTATTTATTTAAACAGAGTAAGGACAAACAAGTAAGGCAATAGCAACAGTACAAATCTGTGGAATGCATAGTAGAGGCAGATTTCAAAAATGGAAGTACAAGGCATTATTGATAAGGATCAAAAATAAATAAATAAATAAAAGGAATGGCAGATAATGAAATTATTATTAACATGGCAACAAGGGCATTCATGTTAGGATTGATGAACATTGGTGGGCAAACCCATCAGTATTTCAGTCAGATATTCGTATGATTCGATACATTTAAGAGATTTTAAATAAAACTTGAATTCAGATTAAAAAAACTTTAAAGGTTGGGGATGATCTCAACACTCTTTGTTTATGAATAAAGAATTTTGCAAAACACAAAATTAAGTTACAACAGAGTTCTACTGTTTTGTTTTTCAATAATATTCCAAAAGTTACCATATCTCTAGAAATAGATTCAGGAAGTGCAATTTTTGATTTGATCCATGTTTTGAAGCAATTCCAAAATGTTTTGGTTTTATTGCATTCATAGAAGACCTGGTAGAATGAGCATTTATTGTCATCAATATTGAAACGAATTCTTAGTAGTTCTTTTGAGGGGTAAATTGCATAACATTTTTTAAAGTGAGTTTTCTTTAGCTTTTAGTTGCATGGGGAGTTTTAGATAAAGAATTCTCAGTGTTTCAATTGATTTTTTCTCAAATTTGCAAAGAATATTATTTTTATTTATTTTCCCAGGGAACCAAGTTTCGTTTAGACAGTTCCTAATTGTGTGGTTATTGAATTTTTGGTCAGCGATTGATGTCCCATTAATAGATAAATTGGGTAGTTCTGGGGGTCATTGTTTTTAATCTGATTAATAAATTGTTCATACCTACAGTTACTTCTAACACTAGTTTTTGCTTTTTTTATATTCTATTAATACCTCAAATGAATGGCATTTCCTCGCATATTTAAAAGCTTTATTTCTTTCACTTTTATTTTTATTTTTATTTATTTTTTAATATCCTTTTCCCCCGAGCGACTTCGCTCTTTCTTCTTCTTCGGTTTTGTTGGAGGTTCGCACACAGCTGCAAGGTGCATCAGCGCCACCAATCGGTGAGTACCACGAGCCCAAATAGAGATTTTATATTTAAGTACGTTAAAATAACAGATTAATCTATTTAATCCGATTGTAATTAGACAATGGAATTAATTTCTTAGGAACTAACTTCTAGGTCTTTCACGATTTTACGCCGTTTGAGCCCCCTCTTGTGGGAGAAATCAATTTAATGCATTACCACATCCGGAATAAAATAAGGTTTTGGTATGCTAAATAAGAAAAAAAAATTCATTAATTCATTTACGTTTATTTCTTTATTTAATGCATTATTTGTGTTGTGGTTTGCAGTATACGATGTGTTCCGCTTTAAGTTGTTGTTTCCTCCGGATAATAATATTGAACGCACCGCAACAGGAAAATGAATCCTGTTGCCTAGGGTTGTTTAAGTGTAGCTTTTTTATATTTATTTATTTTACTTTATCCCACTGGTATTTTTTTAAATTGGAATAAAAGGACGTTAATGTGCGACTGACCAAAGGCAACCACCATGTTCCGCGCCAGGCTGAGCAGCCGGTTAACTCTCGCTGCACTTAGGTGGACAACAGGAGGGGGGACCTGTCACCCACCATGTCTGTCCACTTTGTCCAACTGCCTCATCCAGAACCAAGCACTAAGGAGAAACGAAGGTGTCCATTCAGAGTCTACAGTGTTGAGACGAGCTGTGTGCCTCCAGGGTCGGTTTAATTCTAGGCAAAGGGAAACAGGCCAGGGTGGCAGTAGGTCGTTCAGCCTGTCTGCTGCTTCCGTGGTGAACTCAGCACCTGCTCACGTACAGCCTTACCTCAGACTGATGAGGCTGGACAAACCAATCGGTAATTAAATTCCTTACATTACACAGTAGTATGGTTTTAGCCTTGCTTATTTATTACAAAAAGATGGTTTCACTTTGTTTGCATTCATTTGATTTCCACTTCCATCTAACAAAGACATCTAGTAAAATTAAAGGAAAAAAAATGTAAAGGCATACTTTTATATAGATATTTATGATTTTTTTTTTTTGTTTATTACCTTAAAAGTTGTTTTTATCGAATGTGTGTGAATTTATGAAATATGTCTGCAAATGTGCACAAATTACCCATCCAAATTTATCTAAAATGTAAAATGTAAAAAAAATATATATATATATATATATATATATATATATATATATATATATATATATATATATATATATATATATATATATTATTTTACCTTTATTTAACCAAGAAAAAAAAATCCCATTGAGATTAAAAACCTCTTTTTCAAGGGAGTCCTGGCCAAGAGGCAGCAAAGTTAGATACATTAAAATAAATGACAGGTACATTAAAAAACCATATCAAGTAAAACAACTACAGATCATTGAAGCTGCTTCAAATTATTTCACTTTCAACTTAAAAGCATTTAAGATAAAAACTCAGTCAACTTCCAGTTTCTTTGCAAAAAAATTCCATGCACAAGAAGCTAAAGGCTTTCTTCCCCAGTTCTGTGCGGGCAAAAGGAACAGTGAGCAACAGCTGATCGTTGGATCTCGGCAGAAGAAGCCATGCTTTTCTGTGTAAGTAAGGTACAAATGTAAGACGGCAGTAATCCAAGAAGAGCCTTTTAAATAAAAGTGTACCAATGACGCTGCCTTCACAGAGAGGGAAGGCCATCCCATCTGAGAGGACAGGTCACAGTGATGTTTCATGCCTCTACAGTTTGTGAAGAACCTTAATGAAGCATGGTAAACTGTCCAACATTTGAAGACATGAAGAAGTAGCATTCTTATAAAATAGGTCACCATAATCTAAGACAGATTAAAAACGTGACGAGACAAGGAGCTTCTTTTTACTCCAAAAGAAAAACATGTCTTATTATGAAAGAAGAAGCCCATTTTAACTTTTAATTTCTTAACAAGTTTATCAATAAAAGGTTTGAAGGTGAGAGAGTCATCAATTAAAATTCAAATGTATTTATATTCATGTACCACCTCAATGACATTCCCCTCCAGAATGGCCACTACTGACAGAGTTTGAGGCACCTTCCTATTATTATAAGCTCATCATATTTCAAACATTATTAGTTTGTTTGCAATATTCTTTAGGTTATAATCCTTCAAACACGATTGACTCAAACTCTGCTAATATATTTGGCAATATTGATAGACCGTTATTAAAGCTGCAGTCTGTAACATTGAGAAGAGAGCAGACTTCGACTGAAAATTTGAAGAAAAACAGGTTTCACGCCACACCCCCACCCTCTCTGCTTCACTCATGCCCCACCTCCAAGCTCCACCCTCTCTCCACTCCCTGCAGCGGCAGTTTCAGCGGTGAGAGGGAGGGGCGGGATTCAGCGTGTGTGAGCTGTGATTGACACTCCATCAGACGCTCCTCTGGCTGTGATTGGTTGTTTTGTCTCGTCCCGAATTATTCTTTCCAGATTGCAATACAGGCAGTAGGCGGGACCAATTGAAGCAGTTTTTTTCACAGGTTACATATCACATGTACTGCTGTCTGGGCATAGGGACAGTTTTAGCCAATATGACAAAAAAGTGATTTTTAAAAACTTACAGACTTCAGCTTTAATTTGATTAAATCTTAGTTACTTACTTGACCGTCTGTTGGAGGCATTATAATGTTGGAACAAGAGATATTTGAAAATAATTGGAATGATTACATTTGAAATAATCTTTACAATATTTAACCTTAATAAATAATGTGATTCTTCTTTTTCTTTTTTTTAACTCATTTGAATTGACAGTATGAAATGATTTAGGCAGTCAATCAAGGTCTACAACTGATCAATCTAGTTTGGTTAAGAAGAATTGGATAATGAATTGTTGGCATGAAATCAGTGAGAGATGTACATTAAAACCAAATTCTATCTGCTGAGGAAACTAAAACAAAAAAAATAATAAATAAAAAAGCTATGGACCTTTGGGAATACTACAAGTTTTATCAATTTGATTCGAAAGATTGGAGCCCTTGAATTCTTTAGATCAAGAAAAGACTTTAACTAAACCTCAACCAAAAGTTTTGTAAATAATCTTCCATTCGATGCTTTTGTGTTTGCTGTTCAGGAACATGGCTGCTCTACCTTCCTTGTACATGGAGCATCGCCTTGGCAGCAGAGCCGGGAAGTCTCCCAGATTTTGGGATGCTCGCCCTGTTTGGTACTGGCGCCCTGCTGATGAGGGGTGCAGGTTGCACCATCAACGATATGTGGGATAAAGACTTTGACAAACAAGTAATTCTAACCATTTATATAACATATTGAGTCAGCCCTAGGGGAAAGAAAGTGTGCCATATGCTGAATTAACAATTCATTAAAACTCTTTGGAATTTTATGCAGCTCAATAATAACAAAGTTATATTTTCAAAACAGGTTAAAGAGAAATATTTCTGTTTCTGTAAAGGTAGCCAGGACAGCATCACGACCCATCGCATCAGGGGAAATTTCCAGAATGCAGGCACTTGTGTTCCTTGGAGGGCAGCTCTCCCTCGCACTTGGAGTCCTTCTGTGTCTTAACTATTACAGGTACCAAGATTTATTTTCAAACTTTACGAGCATGAGAAAAAAAACCTTCCTAAAGGTAGAGTTATGCCAAACATCATTTACTTCCATCTTTCTGTGGTGTCCAGTAAGAATACGATAGAATAGAACAGAATTTTTCTGCCTTGCTGTCTGCTGACACCTCCACCCTGTACCGCCATGGATGCTGTGTAAAGGCTCTCATTGATGACCATGGCTTCCTCTTCGCTGTAGGTTGTGCAGCCGAGTTGAGCCAAACACAGTGTAACGTGAGGATAAGGCTACTGACGTTGTGCAATGCACCATCAACCCCTAACAGTAAACATACCCACAGCATCATGCTAGCATCGCCATAATTGAAAGTTGCCTTATTAGTTGCGGGTTTGAAAGTTTTTGTCTCTGAGACAAAGTAGCTCATTTCTTTTGTCTCTTTTTAACGTAACACTTTTCTCCAGAGTTCATTTGGTTGAACCATATGGTCAGCAACATTTAGTCATGCTCAAAAGCAAGATTTTAGGGCAGGCTCTTCTTGGTTGGTTTGTATTCTTTCCTTCCCAGTTGATGTAAAACTCAATTAAAAGCCAAACTGGTGTTCCGGTGTCCTCCAGTTTATGAGCTTGAAACTTTGGTGTTGTTAGGTTTTTGACTTGTTAAGAGATAAACTTTTCAATGGCACAGAAAAGAGGCTGAACATGGAAAGTTTTCAGCAAGTATTTGGTTTGTAGTCTGTAAAGTCAGACTAAATAATCTGTGGTGACTCTTTCTGCCATCAGGAGGTTAAAATGTAACCTGGCAGTAGCTAGATTGATATGTGTAGAACTGAGTTAAATTCTTCGTTATCAATCTGTGATGGCTGCCGTTCAGTCTATCTGTGAAAAGGAGGGACGTTTAGTACAATACTTAGAGCTGATTGGGTGATGTGCCAGCTAGTATCCGTCTTCTATAATATGCTTTTAGCCAATCGTAGCAGCGAATCCTGACGACCAGACATGCACCAGGAATGACAGGTGAGACCACTGATATCTATTTATTCACTGGATTGCTGTTAGACCGTTCATAGTACACAGTGCTGTGAAATCACCATCCACCATATTGGTACTCCCTAGTTAGACCGGGTGGAATGTAAATTACATGCATTACAGAATCGAACAATGGTGAGTTTCTAATTTTCAGGGGGGCTTAAGACTTTTCTAACAAAGCTAAATGCATTACTGTGACACGCACTTGCTGTTTAATAGCATCAGTAGTTATTTATGGTAAAAAATAGGCACATCACATTGCATATTCAGAATGAAATCTGTGAAGTCTATAAATCATGTAATCTAACAAATTTATCACAACAAAATTTGTGTGTTAAATGAGCATAATATTACTACAGTCAGATATTAAGAATGTTACACAAACATACACTATCTGATGATGTGCCAAAAGTGCTAAATTGATTATGTACATGTAATATATATGTATTGATTACATTGTGTTGGTAATTACATTACATTACAGGCATTTTATGGCGCAACTTCGTTAGAGTGGGGAGTACCAAGATGGCGGCAGGTGACTTTATTTTTTTCAGCCTCTCAGCAATCCAGTGAATAAGTAGAGATCAGTGGGTGGGACGTGTTTACTGACATGTAGACCATTTTCAAAAAAAAAAAAAAAAAGCACAGACATCTTTCTCATCTGCGAATACACAAAGTGCTTCCCTTTGCTCCTTTTTTAAATGGGAAATTATTGTTATTTTAGCTAAAACCGAGTCAATGTGGTATTGACAGGTAAGTCCTGCAGCGTAGCCATGTCTTTAATGCCCCAGCAAGGTCCTCCTGACTGTGCATTATGTCCCACCCCAAAAAACACTGCTGGCATGTCATTTGTCTGACTCGCTGGTGGTGATGAGACAGATGTATTAGCAGGTATCTTTCAAGATGGACTTGTTGTGAGACTGAAAACTCTCAACAATCCAGCTTGCAGCACAAGGTTGAAAGTGTAGTCAAGACGATCAGGATTCAAATTGAAACCAAATTAAATAAGGTGTAGAAACAGACTTTTTCCCTCTCTTAAAGATGCTTAAGGCTTCACTTATGGTGAATCTACCAACATAGAAATGTGTTTTCTGTATCAAAGGAGTTTTCTTTAATTTATGAGCAAAGTTTCCTGTCACTATGGAGGTATTTGTTTTTAAATGTTTCTATGTGTTCACCCTATCCTGACAGCATAGCTTTGGGGGCCGCTTCATTATCTCTTGTCATCACCTACCCACTAATGAAGAGGATCACTTATTGGCCACAGCTGATGCTGGGTAGGTGTTTCAGGAAGTCAGGTTTTCAGGCTCTCCATCTTAAAGCTAAAGTCCTGTTCCTCTCACCTCTCTGCAGGCCTTACCTTTAACTGGGGCACTCTCCTCGGCTGGGCTGCCGTGCAGGGCTCTTGTGATTGGTCCGTGTGCCTTCCCTTGTATTTCTCTGGAGTGATGTGGACGTTGATATATGACACAATCTACGCTCATCAGGTGAAGAAATCTACTCTGTAGCAAGGTTTAAATCATCTGGAAATTTTCATTGGATTTTAAACTTATTTAGTTTTAAACTTCTATTTTAGGTTTAATTAGTGTTTAGTATTAGGTAGCTAGTTTATTTTAGACTTTTTTTTTTTCTAAAAAGGTTAGTTTTAGTTAAGTTTTTGGTTAAAGTTTTATTATTTTGTGTATTAAGACTTGCATATCAGGGATGAGATTAAAAAAGCAATAATAATAGTATAGAAATAAAATTCCAGATAAGGACAGACCTCCCATCTGATGGCTTAATGCGGTGCAACTAAAAAAGTGAAAGCCAGCAACCAGAAACTAGAACTCATATTAATCCATTTTGATAAAAACACATACAAAAACTAATCAAATTATTTCTTAAAATTCAGTTTGTTTAATAAATTTTCTAAACTTTTGTTAAAGTTATAGTTAGTTTTTTTGTTTTTTTGCAAGGCCTAGTTTTTACTTTTTTAAATTTGAATTTTAGTTTTAGTCTTCAAACATAGCCTGTCTCAGTAGGTTAAAAATGTCCCTTAAGAAAAAAAAGAAAAGAAAATTTTTCTGTCATTTAAGTTGGTTCACACTAGGTGTTGTTAAGTTTTCAGTTTTTTTATTCCTAATGTGAAGCTGCTGGGGAAGCATCTGAAGGCAATCTGAGCTGGAGGGAAAGATTAGTGACACCTGGTGGCCGACAGACGCAATAGCAACCTCTCAACAGTGACCGATCACCAGCACCCTTTTTAATATGCTGATTTTTACATTTTTATTTATATGATTAAGGCATCATTATATATTAAAATTAATTTGGTCTAACACATCTTGGGAAACGGTTTGACAAAGTTCTTTTCATTTTAATTGAGTGAAAAGCTTTTCTTAGCAGAGATTCTTAGTTCTTCTAAATGCATTGAATCAAGAAAGAAGGAATTGTAAAAAAAAAAAAATGACCCATCGGTTGAAATGGCCTGAAGCAGAGAAATACACTGCTGAGAAAAGAGTGGTAGCCTCCACTCATGTTCTATGGATTCCCTGAAATGACTATATATCCCTACTTGCTTGGGAACGCAGAGGATCGTGTGGGTTTCCCCGATGCTTCGCTTAACCTTAAAACCCAGTTAAGGATAAGTGGAAATCTGGACACTTTGGGTTTTGATTTACCCAGGTGTTTTAGGATGTATTTTTTTTCAACAACTTCTTTCTTATATTACCAAAAAAAAAAAACACCTTTGATATAATAGCTAACATTTCAAAGTAGAGAGCTGATATCCTGTCTGTCTATTTGATCCAGGATAAAGAGGATGACGTTAAGGTTGGAGTAAAATCCACAGCGCTGATGTTCCAGGAGCAAACCAAACTTTGGCTGAGTGGTTTCACGGTGGCCATGATGTCGGGGCTTATCGTAGCTGGAGTCAACGCTGAGCAGACCCTTCCTTACTATGTTGCTTTAAGCGCTGTGGCCGTTCACCTTGGACGCCAGGTGAGGAATTTATGTTACAGTTCTGCTCTGTAACATAAATGCTAAGCATTGATTTTTTTATTTATTCATACATTTACTTTTTCTGTCTCCTAGATTTACACTGTGGACATCAACAAAGCTGAAGATTGCTGGAAACAGTTCAGCTCAAACAGAAACCTTGGACTTCTACTGTTTTTAGGAATACTTGTCGGTAATTTGCTGAAAGGATCTAAAGAGTCATGACTGTAAAATAATAGAAATACTTAGATAAATGAGATAGTATGCACTTATTTTACGATCAAAAACCTATTTTTATATTGTACTATCAAGTATGCTTATTCATAAATCACTTGGACTTATTGCTTTTTGTTTGACTCTAAATGAATAAAATGTGGGTTTAACAAGGTTTTATTTATTTATTCCATCATGCTCTATGTACAGGAAGAAAATAACTCAAAGAGAGTAAAGATATAAAGCAAGATTCTCAGCTTCTTAACTGATTTCCATCTGTAGTTCTTGCGGCGTGTAAGAAGGGGACAAAAACTGAGATAAAAAAGACAGAGCTATGTGTATCAGCTCTTGATTTGCTGCGGTCTACGTTCCTACCTTCACCTGTGGTCATCTTGAAATCCGGGTCCTGACAAGAAGACTGAGATCCCAGATACAAGGTGCTGAAATGAGCTTCCCAATGCGACCCTCTTACAGATTTTTCCCTGTCTTTAAACTTCATTGTGCTGCATGTTCAGCTGAGCTGCTTGTATAATTATAATCCTGCATCTGTCGTGACAAATAGCAATCACTCGGCTGCAGAGCGTTGTTATGGAACACTGGAAAAAAAATGTAAACTGATGTAAAGAGTTCATGCTAAAACATGATGTTCTGGAACAACTTTTTGTTGCTCTAGCTTTATTTTAATTGCTCTCACGTGTTACACAACACAAGAGATTGTAATTTCATCCCTAATTGATGTTACAGAATGCTGCTCAGGTTCAGATCAGACCTGAGCTCATGAGTATCAATAAAGAGAATAAGAATAGTTTGAATAGTACAAGTGTGTCTGTATATATATATATATATTATATATGCAGCCATGTTGCTTTTTTGTTTTCCAACTGAAAGGCGAGTACCAACCTGCTGCTCCTTTTGCAAAGCCCAGTTTAAATATGTGCTTGACTCACTGATGTGCTGGAACACACAATTCTTAAAAAAAAAAATAGACGAGGTTCAAAGACCAAAATTAATATATCATTTATAGGGCTAAAACTGATATTAACCAAATTAATAAATTATTGAAATAATCGTCAACTAATTGAGTAATTGATCAATCATTACCTTGAGTAAAGAGACTCTAAAACATGCTTTTAGCTGACAGAGCAACCCACTTAGAGCAGCAATTGTACAAAAAAAAATTTTTTTGCATTTAAGATGTATATAAAAAAAATGCGTCCTAAAGTGGAAAAGTTTGTTTCACTTGGTTTAATTTCCTACAAGTCTTCTTTGCCTATTCGATTATTATCTGATTATTGCTTTGTACTTGTGACAGTTTAGTGAGAATAAAGTTGAATTCTATTTTTTCTACTCTATTCTATTAATCAAAAACATAGTCAACAGATTAATCAATTTGCAAAATAGTTGCAGCCTTGCATTTAGAACGAATACAATAGAATAGAAAATCCCTTTATTGTCCCACAATGGGGAAATTTATGCCAACTTTATTCATAAACAGCAAAAACATTCATAACAGTAAAACACAAACAAATGAAGAAGACACAAAGAAAGGTTATGCTGGTTATTATTTTTTTCCAGGATGAATAAGCATTGCTGAACCAGTTCTAGTCGGGAACAATCAATCATGAGTCAGCTCTGACAAGAAAGAGGTGACCTTGTTTTAAGTTAGGGAACGTTTTGTCCATGAGCTTGACTCATGTCAGGAGCAGTTATTAGACAATAACAGAAACCAGGAAGTTGGATACCTTTCCTATTTTCTAGGAAATTTGATTGATTGCTCAAAACCTCCTCCTTGCAGAGAGCAGTTGAGATTAAACCAGGTTGGATTGCTAGTTTCAGCACATATTTTGAACACTTGCTGATTTCTCTGCGTGCATAAGATGATTAAAGTAGCTGATAAAAACAAATCAATATGAATGTGGTAAAGAAGATGGTTTACTTCTTATTTTGTGTCATTTATACCAGAGTTTGTGATGATACTTCATATCTTTCACTCAGAGAAATTAATAAGATGTTGAATATAGTCTTGATGGTTAGCATACATTTATCCTCTGAATAAACACTAACAAGATTATATATTCCACATATACCACTTCATTGATGTTTACATCACAGTGTTTATAGATGTTTACTGTAAAATAATAAAAGTAAAAAAGGAGGACCTTGCTAAAAATAACATAATCCTCTTACATTGGTCTAGCATCTTTTTGCTTTCTGTGCTGACTGAAGGCAAATTAGTAAATAAACAAAACAGAAAGGATGCAAAAGCCGCATGACAATCTGCTGATATGTAATAAACCATCACTTCTAAATCACATATGAAATTTGTTTTTGTTTTTATGCAAAAAAAAAACAAAAAAACAGCAAAGGCATGTTTTTGAGATAAAGTAGAGCTACCCTATAGTGCATTTGCTCTATTTTTGTCCAAGGGGGAAACTTTGAACCATATGGTTAAAATTTGATCTAACGTGATGTTTTCCAGCAGGAAAATGATCCAACAAAAAAAAAAAAATGCCTTTGGAATTAATGAAGTAACCCCATTATCCTCAAAAGTTTGTCTTCTACCTGGAAACATGCAGTTTTCAAACCAGAAATGTAGTTGAACATTAATTAGATACACTTAAAGGTATGGTGGAGGATTTTCGTGAATAAAAAAAAGAAAAAGAGCTACCCTCTCCAGTTTAAAAAAAATGCACATGCACAGCCCTGGACCTGCTCTTGATAGGGAATACCTATTAAACGCGTGTGAGAGCATGGACAAGCCCATTTCTCCTTGTGCGCACTCTGTTTAAAAGTTGCTGGTTGCATCGTTCATATAAGCTCACTTTACAAAAGACGATTTGCAATTTTCCACAATGTCAGACTCACCACCGGTAAGTGAAAATGAGGATGAGCACGTAGGAAAGCCTTATGTAAACATATCACCAGAATGATTGACAATTAGGAGGACCATTTACTTTGATGATCCACCTGAAAAAACAACGTCCTCCACTATACCTTTAAGTTGGACCACTGTGACCATTGATTGTTAGTAGTAGTAGTACTACAAAATAAAGCGGAAAAAAATAAATGGGCACTCTTTTGACAAAGTGTCATTTTGTGAGGCTGCTTATTTCTTTCTGGAGAAACTGATTACCGGTAAATAAAAAAAAAAATGACATTATGTTAAAAAAATGTTAAGTGTTGGAGTTGGGTGACACATGAACAAATTTTAATATTTTACAGAAATCTTTATCAAGTTCTGATATAATGGGAGCTTAAAATCTAGAAGATCTTCCTGCCCTGAGTTTAAAAGGCACCAGTAAAGCAATATGGAGGAAGTCTTGTTTGAGATGATTCTTAGTGGTTAAATGAGCAAAATTATTTACTTGTAATTATTAATTATTAAAAGGAAAAAAATGAAAGGGAGCTGAAAATAAAAATATACTATTCTACTATCACAAACATTGGAGACTTGACTCTAAAACGATGATTAATGAAGAAACGCTTTACCTTTTTTGGCATGTTGGTGTAAAGTAAACAGGTTTTTACATGCTGTCGTTAACACCAAGTCCACAACATCTGTTACAATGTTTGATGTTGAAATTCCAGCTAATAATACATTTCCCCTATTTTTCCAATAATGATGAAATGCAAAAGAGATTTACCTGTTATTATTGTTGGATCTTGTTGCTGCATCCTGTCACAGTTTGCCCTGCCCCTTTGCAGCTGTGCGGTAACATAAAAAGTTAAGTTTAAACTAGTTAGTGATGGAATCTCTCCTGAGCCAGAGACAGGTACATGAAAGCATAGTGGAGGATGTGTCAGGCTGTGGGTCTGCTTTCCTGTCTTAAAGATTTTAGATTGTTGTATATTCCTATAACTTTAAAGGTTCGGTAATTAAAAATGTTACGAACCTTAAAATAAAATAAGTTGAGAAAGATTTAAGAGAGGATTAATAGAAAAAAAGCAAGTAGGTTCTGATATAAACACTAAAGATGTGCAAACCTTACACTTAAATCACAATAGAATTACTTTGTTGGTGAACATTTTTAATTTGTTTGAAAAGTAGCAAAAGGTGGCTTAGAGGTGATTCAAGTATTTCTTTATTTTCATGAGCAGGTGGGTGTTGGGCGTTATAAAACCTTATTGCGCAGCATCAGAGCGCGCGCATCAAAGTCCGACCTTAAGGCTTTAAAATAAGGTTTAAAGATCGATTTAACGACACGTTTCCTTTTTGTTCTTCTTTTGGTCAAAGGGGGCTGGCGCGTCAAAAACTTGGGCCGCCGTTTTGCTGGGGCTCGTCGCTGCGTCACGGAGCCTCTCTGCGCCCATTGGTCCGCTGTTGTGCAACTGTGCAATGGTATAAAACGTGCCGTTTGAAAGAGTTAGTAATAGGCGATCTCCGCGCTCAGTGGAGGGAAGGGGGTCACTGTTTTTTTTTCCAGCCATCCTCGTCCTGCACAGTGATCTAGAAATGCAGAGCTGCGCTAAGTCGTGGAGTTTCTTTGTGTCCAAGTCGGTGAGTCGGTGCGCACCGTGCAGGCGGAGCAGCTCTGCTTGGAAAGCTCAGAGCAGGATCCGGCTCCAGCGCAGCTCAGCGTCCCTAACAACAGCAGGAGCAGCAGCCCGGGGTCTCTCTACCTCTGCAGCCGCCTCCTCCAGGCAGATAGAGCGCATTTTACCCAGACACGATGACTTTGCAGAGAGGCACATCGGTCCAGGTGAGAGGGAGAAGAGAGAAATGCTGGATGTTTTGGGACTCGAGGTAAGATTATTATTCTTTTTTTTTTTCATTCATCCTGCTTTATACAGTTTAACTTAAACTCATCTAAGAACAGGAAATTCTTTTATTGCTTTTGATTGATTGAAATGCTTTTGTTCACAGTCAGTCGACCAGTTGATAGAAAACACAGTTCCATCCTCCATCCGAATTCAGCGCAGTTTGAAGATGGACGATCCAATTTGTAAGTTTAGATTAATTTTTGCACTGATCAAATTAAATCCTCCGACATTTTTAACCTTTAAAAAGCAAATGCAAACTTAAATAAAGTGGGGGTAGGGAGACTGTGGTCCTCTTTGTCTCCCTCAGCAGCTGGTATTGTGCTCGGCTGTCTCTCCTCATCCAGCCTGCGCTCAATGAAGCCAAGTTTGTGGCTGAAATGTAGGTTGCAGCTCCATTGTGCGCCGCGGAGCGCTCTCCCCGTTAAGTCTTCCTTTGAACATATTAGGAGTTGTTTTTGCGAAGCAGCACCAATCTCCTGATGGGAAGCCGATGCTCATAGGATGGCAACTGGAGTGTAAAGTTTAGCCCTGAGCTCC